AGCGACTAAGCGACTATATAGTTAAGCGACTAAGCGACTAAGCGACATGTTAATAATAATACAAGATAATAATAATATTCTAAGATAATAATTAATAAATAATAAATAATAAAAAAATAATAAACTAATAATTAATTCGTTCTATAACAATATGTTTACATGATTTTCAGAAATTACTGTCATGGGGAGTATGATTACCAAATATGAGGGATACAATTACTAGCCTCTAATAATAATATAGTATAATAATAATAATAGAATTTTGCTATTTATCACTACTAGTAATCATTACTGGTATTGTTATATTTCAAAAATATATTAAATAAATGGAATCAGATATTTTAAATAAAAATGTTCAGAACTTCAAAACTTTATAAAAACTAAAATTGGAACCTTGTATTAGCTCTATATTATATTATATAAAAAAATAATAATTCTTTAATTTCTAACTCTAATCCTAATAAATCTTAAAACTAGTGATAATTACTACTAGTAATATGTAGTAATTTTTTATATATTTATAGTTTAGGTTTATAAATACTGTATTTTTAAATTTAGAATATATTGTATTACTATATATAAAAAAAGATCAATAGAAAACAACCAAAATTTTTTTTAAATAAAATTTTTTTAAACTAAATTAAGAAAATTTCTAATTTTATATATAGTGTATATAGTACATAGTAGAGATTAAATCCTTTGAATATTTATTATGGCTATTTAGTAAATAGTTACAGATTTTGATATTTACAAATAGTATTGAATAAATATTTGAATTATGGATAGATACCCATCTATTATTGTAACTATGAATATTCACAACAAATATTTATGCAAATATTTATAAATCAATTATCAATTACAAACTCTCAATTATTCATAAACTTTGTGTAACCAAATATTAAATATTCAATGAATATTCATTTTTAACTACGAATATTCATGGATCCAACCTCTAGTACATGGAGTATTGATTTGTCAAAACAATTTATATAAAGAAAAATTAAATGCTGATTAAGATTAGAGTAAGGGTGAATTTGGGATAAAGGTGAAGAGAGTAGTTTATATCAAAATTTTACAGGGAATTTGTTTATTAATATTGAAAGGTTTTATAAGCAAATCTTGGGTTATAAATAATTTTTTAAAGAAAGCAATAAATTTGCATTATACCTGAGCGTGCAATTTAATTGGCTTTCTATATTACCCGTGTATATACAAAGTGTTCAAATAGAAATTGCCATTATTATACTGTATACTGTATAAACCTATATCCTAACCCTATTTTAACTAAGAAATTCGGAATCCACTTAAATCTCGTTTCCACTTACAACATATATATATTAGGTTTAATTTTAAAATAGTAAATTAGTTAATAATAATAATAATATATAATTATTATTATTATACGAAGTTTAGATTATATATTAAATTATATAGAAAATTATATATGTATATATATATACAATATATATACTGCAAAATTATAACTAAATAATTTGCAAATAGATACGTAATATTTAATACGTATATACGTAGTACGTACGTATCAGTATGTACCGTTAATTTACTACGTACTGTATTTGTTTGTTCTAAAATTTTATAACTAATAATAAATTCTAAAACATTTTACACCGGTTGGCATATCAATACTATATATAGTTTGTTTTTGGGAATCATCCAGGGCGGCCCATCTGGTATTTGACCTGCATAACTTAATTTAGGCTGATTAATGGGTTTCGTTAGTACAGTATATAGTGTAATTTTTGTTCCGGCTGCGTCATAAGTGACGTCACAGCATTTTTTGAAGCCTTCCTGGATGATTCTTGTTTTTATACTGTATATAAGTTAGAGCAATCTATATACAGTACTTATAATTAAATTTCTATCGTCTATTTTTATTTATTATATAGGGTCTTTGCTAACCAAATAACAATAACTCTTCGAAACTACGTAAGTTATAGTCTCAAAAGATTATTTTGTTAGTACAGTAAGATCCATATTATACAGTACCACAATAATTATGTTTTTTATTAGATTTTAAAATTGTAAAAATCTTTAATCTGATATAAATACAAAAAATCTGATCATATAAAACTTCTTTTTAGTTCGCGTCTGGGCAAAAGTGATGTAAGTGGTAATAATTATTTGCAAATAAATATGTAACGGTAAAGATCTGCAGCATCACGTGATTATATGAAGTATCATATTCAAGAACTCATGACGACTGTGAAACATCAGAATTAGTAAAAATGGGATTAGAAGAATGTGATTTAGAAGAAAACACAGTGTCAGTGTGTACTGTACAAATTAAAATTAAAGTTTACCCAGAATTTTTTTTTTTAAAAAAAATGATAAACTTATTTTATACTATGTGTATAATAACTGATTTTTTTAATTAGAATGTGATTTGTTTTTTATATAGTATATATATGTATGTATAGGTATGTATAAATATATTAATACCCGATCATTATAGGAGTATAAATATAAATCAAATAATACCCTGATTAGTATATCGATATACAGTATACGATCAGGAGATTGCAAATCGTAATTGCCCGAAAGACTAATTGTTAAAGGCTCCTGGACTCCTATAAACTACAGAATCATTTTTGATTGGTTGTTCATAATGCAGAATAAACAACCATATGTGTAAGAGTAAAATGATTTCGTTAAAAATATTCTGTACTATATAATAATATAATTAAAATTCAAAAGATAGAATTAGTTAAAATCTATATCTTATGACTTTACAAATTAGAGGAGACCCGCACCTAATTTACCAGGTTTGAATTGTTTGCTTTTGTGATTAAATATAGATATAGAAAGTTGGCCAATCTTTATCATTTGGATAATCAGTTGATTTTCGTATTGCGCCCAAGTTTTTTCTAATTTCAGGTTAAATTAAACACTAATAGAAATTATTCCCACGCACCTACATACTACCTACATCAGATTACTCGATTGAGTACATATCATAACATATCATGCTAAAGACCCTACCTCTAAAAAACAAATTACTTAATTTCTTTACACAGTGAAAGATCGCATTATTCCAGTTATTCCAGTTATTCCAGTATGTAAATTAAAAATTTATGTTCTTGTTAATCATTCAGATTATCATATGAACCAGTTCCCGTTCCATCGCCCATGTACTTCCTTATTTAGAAACGATAGGATTCCTAAGAAAGTTAGAATGTAGTGCACGAAATCAATTCATTAGATTGTGACGTTTAATTGTTTAACCGTTAAAAAGGTCTCGATCGGAAAATGCGAGACATTATTATTATTTCTTTTATTTTTTAATTTTCTATTAACAATGGAATCTCATTCTACCCAAGCCTCTAGACCTCTTTTAAATTCTAAGCAAAAGCCACCTTCTTATCAAAGTGTTGAGAGTACTGAAGAAAAACATTTGACACAATGGGAACTAATTAACATGACCATTTGCTTTGCTGGTCTACAATTTGCATGTAAGTAACTTATAGAATGTGCTTCAAGATACTTTTCTAAATAGTGAATTTATTTTGCTATTGTTGTCGTTGAAGCTTCGTCTTTAGGGCTGGGGTTTATACAGCTATATTTTAAATATCAAAGTCTTATATTCTATCTTGTAAAAAATTAAAAAATTAAAAAAAAAAACCAAACTTTTAGGGACAGTCGAATTTTCGTGAGTACTTTTGGGTATTACCAAAGTTATTTCAATTTGGATATTATGAAATGCAGGATTTTTTCTTAAGTATGAACTTCATTCCTTTTAAAATTACTAGCTATGGAACACCGTATTTGGTATCATTAGGATTGTCGCCTGAGCTTATAGCTCTTGTCTGGTTTGCAGGACCTCTTTCTGGGTTTATAATACAACCACTTGTGGGAGCATTTAGTGACAAATGCACATCTAGGATAGGTCGAAGAAGACCGTTCATTATTATTGGGGGAATACTGGTTTGCTTATCAATGGTCTCAATCGCTTATTCAAGAGAATGGGCCGCGATCCTACTTGGCAAAAAAATATCGAAAGCTCCATTAGATGATGATGACGTAAATTTTAAATTTATATGATTAAAATTATGTTTTTTTTTGTTATTATAACAGTACTTGATGTCTTCACTTTCCATATAATAGATTAGAAGAATGGCAATTATTATTGCTGTCATTGGCTTTTATTGTTTAGATTTTTCTTTAAATGCAGTTCAAGCTTCTATACGTGCTTTGGTTCTGGACATCCCTCCTGTACATCAGCAAGAAGCTGGTAATGCTTGGGCTGGTAGAATGTTACATATGGGAAATATTGCTGGATATTTCACTGGATTTTTAGATTTATTAGTCTTGTTTCCGTTCTTAGGAGACAATCAACTTCAAGTTTTATGTTTAATTGCATGTATAGTGTTTACACTATCATTGCTTTATACATGTTTAACTGTCAAAGAAAAAGTATACGAACCTGTAGAAAATGATTCAAGGTTTGCTCTTTATATTCTATACCGTAATAAACCTGTTATAAATTTTAATCAATCAATTTTGTTAATTATTATTATTATTTTTTTTTGTTATTTTTGTTAGTTCATTGTATAATACTCTCACATATATATATAGAGCAATTAGATATCTTCCATCACCTATTCAAAAAATTTGCAATGTTCAATTCTTTTCTTGGATGGGTTGGTTCCCATTTTTGTTTTTCAGGTAAATAACTATTTCTTCAAATTTATTCGAATTCCCTTACGTATTTGTAACATTCACACTTTATACCTTGTTAAGCTCGAGTTGGATAGCGTCTGTATATGCAAGAACTCATTCAACCAATGATCCTGATTTCTTTGATAAGTCAACTCGATATGGTTCATTTGCGTTGTTAATGTATTCATGGATTTCTTTTGTGGCCGGTTCTCTTATTCCGCAAATTACTCCAACCTCTTCTTCGAGTAGAAACCCTTTCACCATTTACAACATTTATACTATCTCTCACATTTTCTTTGCTTTGATAGCCTGGTGCACTTTATTTGTGAACACTGTCGAACAATCAATTTGCCTTATAGGTAGTTTTGGTATTCCATGGGCTATTTCAATGTGGGTACCATTTGCTATGGTTGGTGAATATGTCCAGCAAGAAGATGAAAACCAAATACAAGAAAATACTGAAGTTAGACCATTAAATAACAATGATATTGAACAAGATACTAGTATGAATTTAGAACTTTCTTCAACATCATCTGCTGCTCCCACTTCGCCAACTGAGGGTGAAGGTGAAAAATTTGCTGCAGGGATGATATTGGGTGTGCATAATTTGTATATCGTATTGCCTCAATTAGTCGTATCTCTATCCAGTTCTGTAATTATCAAACTGGTAAACGATTTTTCACATAAAGATAATATAGAAAATAGTGATGCATTTGGTTGGGTTTTTAGATTTGGTGGTATAATGGCTATAATAGCCGCAATATTATCTCGATATCTTGATGACTTACATATTGTTCGTAGGTGATAAAAAGTTAAAAATTTGGTTTAAATTTCATTAATGCACAAAGGGATTTTATTTAAAGTATGAATTGCCCATTCTATATTCCATTTGAAAAACAATAGATTAGTTGTTTAATTCATTATTGTTAAGTATAAATAGATTAAGCAAATAACGATAAAGATAACGATAAGAAATAAATCCTTTTTACTGGTTAAAAATTGTCATTATCATTAAGTGTTCACGTTTCTAATTTAGGATTGGTTTGGACAACATTAAATTTCTTAATCTTAGTAATTGATTGAATGTAACGAAAAAGAAACACTTTTTAAATTGTCATTTTGATCGTATCATTGTTACTATTAAATTTTTCGGTTATATTGTAAAAAGGTTCTTTGTTTTTTTCTTTCTTCGATAAAACTTTATTATAGCTAAAATTAATAAGGCTAATTTTTAATGATAGAAAGCGGAATTTTTTTAAAAAAACACCGGAAATAAAGTCTTTCAGTTATCCAAAAAAAGTAAGATATTAAATAATGGCATCGGGTCCAAGTTCAAAAGGTAAAAGAAGTGTAGGCGCCAGCCCTAGCCTTCATCGTGGCAATGCTCCACCTCGTCTTGAAATCCCGTCCATCACCCCTTCTTCTTCAGCACCTTCATCTCAATCTCCGTCTCAGACTTTAAATGGTCAGATGTTAACAAACGAGCTTAAGACTGCAATTAGTGCAAGTGGAAGGATAACTCCACAACCAATTGAAAACGACTCAAGTGGATTCTCGAGAGAAGAAACAGCTAATTTTCCATTAGAAAGTGAAAAAATCAACGCCGCGCATTTGCAAGAATTAGAAAAGCTAGGTGAAGGAGCTGGAGGTATAGTGACTAAAGTATATGATACAGTTAACAAAGTTGTAATGGCCAAAAAGGTATAATTTTTTGATCCAACGATATACTTTTTGAGTTATTAGAGTTTCGGTTCGGAGCTTACATGGGATTGTATAATAATTCTCAGATTTTCCTGGAAAAAAAATCTAAAAAAAAATTTATAATTTCATAAACACTAGAAAATCAACGTTGATCCTTCTATGCTTAAACAACTTGTTCGTGAAGTTGATTTTATTCAAAAATGCCATTCACCAAATATCGTTACTTATTATGGAGCTAATCTGGAAGATAGTGATTCTTCAATTTCTATCTTTATGGAATATTGTGAGGGTGGAAGTTTAGATAAAATTTATAAACATGTTAAACAAAGGCAAGGAAGAATTGGTGAACCAATCTTGGGAAAGATTGGAGAAGCGGTAAATTATATAAATCTTTAGTTTTTATTTCTGTTAATTGGTATATTAAACAATTTTATTATTCTTATCAGGTGTTGAAAGGATTGGTTTATCTCTACGAACAACATATTATTCATAGGGGTAAGATCTATTCTTTTATATTATTAATTGGATTCTTTTACATATATATACCTTCATGCTTTTTTTTTTTTTCTCTTACTCCATAGATATAAAACCATCTAATATTTTGGTAACAAAACATGGTGAAATAAAAATTTGCGATTTTGGAGTATCAGGTCAAATATCAACAGATTTACCTGCTGTCACTTTTTTGGGTACTAGTTATTACATGGCCGTAAGTAAAGATTTAAATAAATCAAAAATTTTTTTTTATTGTCAAAAAAAAATTTATCAAATAGTTTAATGCTATATTAGCCTGAACGTATTCAAGGTCAAAAATATAAAGTATCAGCTGATGTATGGTCTTTAGGATTAACGATAATGGAGGTAGCACAAAATGAATTTCCATTTCCATATTCTCCTACCGTTGCTCCGATTGAATTAGTTTCACATATAGTCAATCAACCAGCACCTGTGTTAAAAGATGATCATGAATGGAGTGCTGAGCTTAAAGATTTCTTGAGAGTTTGGTAATTAAAATTTATTCATTTATATTTATGTTTCTTTGTTATAATTTAGTAACCTAATATTATTATGTATATATTTAACAAGTCTGGAAAAAGATGGTGAGAAAAGACCAACTCCAAGGCAAATGCTTGATCATCCATTTATTCAAAGATCAGCAAAGAGAGAAGTTCCCTTACGTCGATGGATTAAAGAAGTTTGGGAATGGAATAATTGATATAAATGTAAATTATAATGCTATTATAATTAATTCAAAGGTTCATTTGGTGCTTAAAAATATTAGGTTTCTTTTTTTTTTTCATGATATGATGTACAAAGAGTGCATACACAATAGGTTGTCTTTTTGAAAAGAATTTTTTATTGGGGCCATTGTATTTGTCACCCCATATTAATACATTTTTGGTTTATCAAACTTGAATCATGATCTGATGATAAGCGCAATTTTGAATGAATAATTTACGTTAAAAGAAAAAACGTAATAATTTTGATAAATTTGATTACGCAAATATATATATATATTAAAAACCGAGGTTCTAATTCTAAAGAAATTGGAAATATAGAGCCTAATATTATTTACATCATTATTTTGTAAATTACAATAATAATTATTTGTAAAATCGCATTAAAAAGTTATTGTAATAAAATTATAATATCAATATCTTTTTTTTTTATCACTAGTTCTATGAAATAATTAATTTTCCTTCTCAACAATGACTATACTCTCACTCTCATCACCATTCGAAATTGATCTATTTTCCGATTTAATTGAAACTTGATCATCGTTTATTATTTGTTCATTATAACTATCATTTTGATTCTTAATTTCTTCTTTAACTATCTCAGCAGGAGTTGAGTAGTCGGGTTGGTTTGAATATGTATGCTTTTCATTATCAGGAGCTGTATCATCAAGGTTGAAAGCAGAAGCAAACGTACTCGAAGGCTGTTCAGACGAAGGATGAAGGAGTGGATGTGAAGAAGAGTTCCATGATAGTTCAAAATTTTGTTCACGTGATTTAAATTTATTTGTTTTTGGGATTCTATGCAAGTAACTTTAATATTATAGATAAATTTAAGAATTATTGTAAATAAAATTTTTAAGACATTTCAAAGTTTACCAGTAAGGCAACATACCCGTAACCTACGCCACATCCCAAAGAACCTTCACCGCCCCATTCGTGATTAGGAACAATGATAACCTTTAAAAAATATAACAATGTAAAATTTATTTCAAAAAGGTATATAAATTTCAAACATTAAATTTTACAAACCTCTCGACAAACGTCAAAATCAGCATTATAAACGTAAAGACGAAGTGGTTTTCCTAAATATGCCTCAATCAATTCATAAAAATCATTTTCGCTACTCAATGCTGCATGTGGTGTTCCGATAACATAATCAGTTGAAGGAACCTGCATAAAAAAATTTTTTTTTTAAAAAAAAAGAAAAATATTAATTGATAAAATAAAATAAAGATTAAATAGGAAAATAAAACTAACCAAACCGGCCATCTCAGCAGGACTATCAGGAGCAATGTCTAAAATATGCCAGACATGTTCATTGATTCCCTAATTGAAAATATATATCAATAAATAGTATAATATAATGAGCTTCAAATTAGAATTTAAAGTTATTCACCTCAAAAGAACAATATCGAATGCTACACCCTATTATTGTAAAATTATAAATTAAGCAATTTAACTGTTAACAATTTAACTGTTATAATAACGTATTATAATAATAATATTAAAGATAATTTACCAATTAAACCATCTTCTGAATTAGCTGACCAAGTTTTATTTGGAATCAGTGAAACTTCTAAAATAAATTATTTTAATTAAATATTGATTCAACACTGATTAACAATAATTTGTCAATAAAATAATAATAATAACCTCTATACTCCTGCTCTTTAGTAGAATATACTAATAATATGACCTCTTTATCGACATTAAACAACAACTGTTCTTGAAATACGGAAGTTTCTGTGTCCTAGAAGAAAAATGTGAATGAGCACGGTTGTCAAAAAAAAAACAATAAAAAAACAATAAATCAAGGAAATAAAATTGAATAAATGTATATCAGTTTAATGTACCAGTGTTATTCCATTAATTCCAACTATATAATCAAAAAATGGCTCTATTCCAGCCGTATGAGCAGGTGAATTTTCTTTAACCTAGTAGTTTTTCTAAAAATTGAGATCGAGAAATTTGATGAACTAAAAAACCTTAAGCAATGAGACCATTTACCCTTAATACGTGATAACCATAGCCTTTAGCAGAGCTTTGAGTTCCTCCCATTATGAACGAGGACAAGTTTAAACAAAGATAAATATGCTTATTATATGTTTATACGAAGAATGATTTTTTATATTACTGTATTAATGTAACTTTCGAAATTGCGTCTACATTGTAAATCAATCGGTGTTACAAAAGGGGTGAAGATTTACATTTTACTTTCCACAAGCAAATTCATTTTTTAACAATCAGAATATGTCATTGATAAATAGCGATAAAACTATTGTATATCACATTTTAATAACACTCATTTTACGTACGAATAGAATAATATCTAATATCAGATATCAAATACATAAACATAAATAAAATATAACGAAATATGTTTGTTAACTACAGATAATTGAAGTAAATGATTCCAGCCCATGAATTTTTTTTTTTTTTTGCGTTTTCATTTTTTTAATAATCATAAACCGAAATATATAAAATAATATCTACATATAAATTCTCAAGTTTGTCTAAGTTTACTGTTATTTCAATTTGTCACATGGCATTGAATAATCCTAATCATGAAAGATAAATTATGGTTCTTTCTCGATTTCAACTGTTTCAACAGTCGTTTCAACAACATCATCTATATGTTTTGGTTGCGAAAGAGATTCTGTAGTAGTTAAATCGTTAGATTTCTCAACGATTTCTGTTTGAGATTCAGTAACTTGGTCAGTTTCAGCAGCCAATTCTTCATGTTCTATAGCATGAGATTCTTCAGAAGCTTCAACATTTGGTTGACTTTCAGTCTCATATTCGTGGGTTTCTTCTATAGCTTCAGAATGAGATTTATCTTCTGACTCGGTAACCGAAACTTCATCATGAGACTCAGTGACTGAAACTTCATCATGAGACTCAGTAACTGAAGTTTCATTCTGATTTTCATGGAACTCCTTTTCTGAAGATTCTTTTTCATCATATTGTCCGTTTGATTCATGTCCTTCGGCGATCTCAATATCTTTTGAACCTTCGGACTTAACATCAAATTCTTCTGATTGGACAACTTCTGATTGAACGACGCCATCTGATTGAGTAACTTCTTCTGATTGAGTAACTTCCTCTGTATGTGTATGTGTTTCTTCATCCTTTTTACTCTCTTCCTTCTGAACTTTTTTTTCTGAATTACTAGAAGAAACTGCTTTTTTTTCCGGAGCTTTCCTGTCTGTAGGTTTTTTAATCGTTTTAGAAGTTGCTGTGGTAGGTTTAGTCTGAACCTTTCCAGGAACTTTAGTAACAGATGTTTTCTTCTCGGAAGCTGAAGTAGTAACAGTGGCAGGTGCAGATTTAGTTACTGTAGTCTTAGCAATAGGTTTTGTTGTTTTTGTGGTAGTTGAACTTATTTTAGGTTTTTCGGCTGTAGGATTTTTAGTTTGTGTAGTTTTTATTGGTCTGGTAGTAGTTGGAGCAGTGGAAGGTTTAGGCTTGGTGGTGGTCGCGGTCCTTCCTGGAGACTTTGCGCGAGCTGTCGATGAGCTATTACTGATTGATAATTTACTTTTATCGGTTGATAATGGTGTTTTTTTTGTTGCTACGGATTTAGCAGGAGTACCAGTAGGTTTAACTATTTTTTTAGTAGTCGTGCCTGCCTTCTTTACGTTCTTTTCGGGTGTGATGTTGGTTACAGCAGTAACTGGGGCAGCTTTGACTTCGGTATCTGCTGCTGCAATTTCGGCATCATGTTGTTCTTCTTGATTTTCTTCTTTTAATTCTTGTTTATCTTCTATAATCACTGGTACTTCTGGTACTTCCGTCTCATGACTTTTTTCCTCACCATTAAGAGTTTCAGTTTCAGTTACAACTACTGTTTCACTAATTTGAACTGTTTCGATAACTTGTTCAGCGTTTTGTTCTGTTTTTTTCTCGGTAGTAACGTTTGTTGAAATGCTAGTCTGGTCTTCAGCTGGCTTTACTTCATAATTATGAACTATCTTTCCAGGATTAGGACTACGAGCTCGAGAATTTGTTTGGTTCGACGCTTCGTCAGGAGTTTGTTCAAATTTATTAATAAGTGCCGAGACAGACTCAATCTTAGAGTGGTCAGGAATAACCATCTAATGTCAACATATTAGAATTAGAGTGAATAACTTTAAACTTAAAAAATTTATTAAAGGTTTAGAAACCATTACCTTGTGTTTAAAATGACTTGTTGTGTTGTCTTGTAAAAGAAAAATAAAAAGTTAACCCTTCTCCAGATTAGACTGTGCCGTAGATTGTATCTATTATTATCATTATCGATTTTAAATACGTTATTAAACTTATTGTTATTTTGTACTACTAATTCTCATGCATAATTACTCAAGTTGGCCGTACACAAACTTACTTTCGAAGTCGCGCACATGTCCGTTTCGGTAAACAAATCAGATCATCAATTATACACAATGACTACCCTTATATTTTAGAGCATGAAAAATATGCAACAGTCACATGTGATAGAACCCATTTTATTAATAAGATGGCTTTATTAGAGAGTTTTTTGTTGAAAGTCTGCTTTGTTAAGGGTGAAATTCCACAGGTTTACGCGAATCGTGATCACTTATACTTGCATATTTTCTTTCACTACTTTCGGCACTCCCGGCTGATACCATTACTTTATCCTTAAACCTATGTGAGTTATCACTTTCTGCGAGTCTTTATTTCAAACGTTTCATATTATACTCATTTCATAAAGGTTTTTCCCCTTTGTGGTTTTAGAAATCCCGAACAAAGTATACCTTGGCGTTTTATGAGTTTGCCTTAAATTTTCTTTTTATAGGTAACTCGAAGAAATGGTTCTAGTAGCCATACTTACCGCTTGCGTTAGCCTGGTCAGGAATATTTTACAGGCTTTTTTATACTTTATTATTCCACGGCCTGCGATTACTGATCCTCAAGCGAATCGAGTAAGAGACTCGCGATTAACTGCTCAATTTATACAAAAATTTGAAGAAAAATATGGTAACACGCACCCTGATTTTTTTCAAGGATCCTATTCACAGGTAATGATCACTTTTAATATATATATATATTTAAAGAAATTATAATCGATCTTTTTATTTTTAAAAATTGTAACCGTTCTTTATTTTTTCTTTTTTTACCGATGTTATGATTAAGGCTTTGGATAGAGCAAAAAATGATCTTCGTTTTGCCATGATAATACTGCAAGCTGACGAACATGATAATACAAAAAAATTTAATCGGTATACGTACAAATTAATTTTTAATTTCCAAATTTATATAATATCGTCGTTACTCATCACAATTGTATTTTATTTTTTAGTGAAACATTAACTTCCGATTTATTGATATCATTTCTTCGAGAAAATGACTTTTTAGTATGGGCCGGAAATATAAAAGATCCAGAAGCATTTCAAGGTTAGATATATATATTTATATAAGAAAAAGAATATGTGTATATATATTTATATAAGAAAAAGAATATGTGTATATATATATTTTTTTTTATACACGAATACAAGTTTTTAATTAGGTATATTTTTTTTATTTATAAATAGTAAATAGCATATTACAAGCAACAACGTACCCATTTGTGGCTGTGATCGTTCTTGCAACACCTCCTGGAAATACTGGTGCGAGTCCAAGAATGACTGTGGTTGATCGTATTGAAGGTATATTCCTTTTTCTTGCAGGTTTACATGGAATTATTCTTGTTTAGTGATATATTCGCTTCTCGTTAATTGTTAATCTTTTCTATATTATTTAAGGATTATTGAGTCCCGAATTACTTATAGCGCGATTTACAATCCTGATAAGTCGATACGGTTCTGGACTACAACGAATTCGTAATGAGCGTGCTGAACGAGATGCTGCACGTGAGATTCGTGAACAACAAGATAGCGCTTATCTTGCATCGTTGCAAGCTGATCAAGAAAAAGAACGTAAAGCACGTGAATTAGCTGAAGCAAAGAGATTGGCTAATGAACGTGCAAAAAGAGAAGCAGAAGAGCGTAGGTTGTTTTTAGAAAACAAAGAAAAATGGAAAAGATGGGCTTTAACCCAATTACCGAATGAGCCTAATCAAAATGAAACAGATGTTACAAGTCTAAGTTTTCGACTATTAAATGGAGAGAGAGTGGTAAGAAGATTTAGAGCAGATGATACTGTTGAGGTAATGCTAATATTATAATTTTTTTTTATGATTTTTCTCAAAGTACGATTATTCAACTTTCAACTTTATTTTATTGTAGACGATTTATACTTTCGTTGACACATATCATATGCGAAAGGACACATCATCATCCTCAACTGTCCATCAACCACCGAAGGATTATGTTCATACTTTTGATTTCTTGCTCGTTTCTCCATTTCCACGAACGGTACATCATGTGGATAAATTCAAGACTATTAAAAATGTAAGTGGACTTTGGCCGTCTGCTAACCTCATTGTCGAAGGTCTAACAAGTGATGATGATGATGAATGAATCGATTACTTACATTAATAAAAAGTATATATATTCAATGGTATTAATTTTACCGGATATACGTAATTATATAGTGTATGTCATGTGATTTTCTTCTAAATTTCTTGCTCATATGTTAATTGGCCAATTAAAATAATAAATTAGTATTACGTAATTAGGCTTTTAAATTTTCTGCATGATTTTTTGCCGTTTCTATATTTGTCAATAACGCTAAATACATGTGGTTAACACACTTCTGGTAACGGCAATGGCTATAGTCATAAATTAGCCAAACGCATAATTTTATAACTTTCGAATACTGTGCACCTCTAATATGTATGACGATATCTGATATTACCAATTATCAGACATATAAGGACATTACGGTATAGTTCCATGTATGTATGTACGTATCAAACAAACCAAACAAGCAATTACCGATTGATATAGTATTATGCTGCTACGTATAGATCCATTGCCAATGAATATTTGACAGGATATGCAAAGAGTCATAAGATTCGTGTTTGAGAATTACCCTAAACTGCCATATACAAGACCCTCCATAATAATAGGCCCACTATGTATTATACCCGGCTCTATAAAGTGTAAAAGGCCAGATATATTAAAAGACCCGGGTATGATATTCAAAGTACAAAATAAGCCCCACACATGTACCCAATTATCTGGCCCGTACCCATACAGCAGCCCGCGGTTTTTTAAAATTGGTGAAATGTAATAACGATAAACCCAGATCTTGTATACGACAGTTTATGGTAATTAAATTTTAACAGCAAACCTGATTAAGTGATTCAATGCATTTATAAAACTTTAATCAGATCTACATAAATTAGGTTCAAACTTTTACCATAAATACTCAAGCAACTCAATCGACTGATTATTAATGACGATATTTATAGAATTAAGTGCTTGAGCATATACTCTTTCTATTTTTCATAATCTTCGCTATGCCACCTAAAAACCTAAAAAAAAAGTTCTTTTCGACCAACTGCAGAAGCTTCAACTTTAGTTGCGTCGGCTCCTCCTTTTAATGATTTTCCAATTTAAATTTTTGTTATAACTTCATATCGTCAAATATGGAAAATATCTACCCAAAACTCTTCCATTTGGGTCTTCTTTACTGAGAAGCCTTCAAATTTAAATGAGTGAAAAATGGAATAGTAGTTAGGGACCGGAATGGGCCGGGCCCTCGAAAAATGCCCGGGCCCGGCAGCTCGAAATAGCAGGGCCTAAGCCTGGCCCGCCAATCTAAAAATTGACATAATACGTAATTTAAAATCAGCGAATATCTCCTGGTTGAATACAGAAATATGATATTTTCAAAGTATATTGCCCAGTGGAAGTAAAATTAATAGGGTCACTGGAACGTTTACACCACTGGAAGAAAAATTAACAACACTGATATATTTATTATATAAGTCAAGATTTTATTGGCAAAAAGAATGGTCTTTTCCATAAATAACGTTGATATTATTTATCATTTTAACGATCTGTAAATAATCATGATATCATACAATATAGCTTTTATTATATCATATCAGCCGAAAAATCATTTTTAATAGCTGCAAGTTAAAACTAACAATCAAATAGAAATTTGATAATCAAATACTTGTGATTAAGTCGGACATCAAATAATCACAGATTGTTGATTGTGCCGAGTACCAGTTAAAACAGAAGACGTATTTTGGTTGAAATAAGCTATTTACGAATTTTATTTTTAATAGGCACTTATTTTATATACTCATTTTGTTATCAACAGGATCTTTCCAATAGTCGGCCCGGCCTGAAAATTTCCGGGTAGTGTTCCGCAAAAAAGATTCGAATGGATTCGGCATTTTTAACGGGTATGAAAGTAGCATTTCATAAAGCATACCCGAATTGCATATATAAGAAACCACCTTTAGCGCTCTGTTCTAACAAAGAGTTTTCGTTGGACAATTTTACTATATAGTTTACCCTCCTTTAACCCATAATCCAGACCCTAACCATGATTAGTATTGAAAATTAACTACTGGCAACAGGCTTCACCTGTCTATCACAGATACCTGTCACCAGTGCAGGTTCCTCGACTATGGACGGACCCGGTTTACGCAGCGAGTTTGAAAGATTGGTATTCACTACAGGTGCACGTGAGAGACAAGTGGTGCCCAGGGACCCGTAAAATTTTAGGTTTGAAACCTCAAAATTTTTAAAATTTAAGCAAAATTTGGTTTTTGCCAATTGTTTTAAAGAATATTATTAAATATAAAATTAGCACTAAGTCACATAAATTTATGTCTCCAGATCACGGTATCAATATCCAATACAAACTAGTCATATACTGTAAGTCTTAGAAGTTAAATAAGTTAAGTTTGTATTAAAAATAAAATACGTATCACTAGGAATAAGCAAATCAAATATTTTTGAATCTACTGCGCCCACATTATAGTAGTTTACTGCTAATGCAGGCCAGAATTGTGAAATTCCGAAATATTCCACCTGTGCTTCCTACGTATCACAAACTACAGTAATATGGA